AAAACCAAGATCCATGGTAACATGAAACACACAAGCACATATGCAGTTATATTAGCAGCAGAGTATTGGCAGCAACCTCAGTGCCCGGTGTAACAGAGGGGAAAGACCATCTGCACTTGGAAGCACTAACAAACCAGGGACTCCACAGCAACTGGTTCTGTCACAACAGCAGAAGGTAGATCCTGACTATTCACATGGAGCTATGAAATGCTCAAGTGGGCCATTATTTGTAATTCTTTGACAGGGTTTTATAGTCATCAGATTTTCTACCGAGATTCAGCAAAGCTACTGTACTTTAAATGAAGCATCATCAGACCAGCACTCTAAGAGCCAGGAGGTGCGTTTGTGCTAATGCAGAGCACCTCCCATGCCTGACTTAGACTACAGAGATAGCCGAGGATGACAGATACCGGGCTGCATGCACAGTCCCCATGACAAGGCTGTTTTGTCCATGAAATGTAATTTGCCTTGGTCTCACTTCATACCACACTTCAGCATCCATGCAGTTACTGTCACAGCTAAAATCTGCAGGCTTTAAATCAAGTCATTTTGATGAATCAGTCTGCATTCATCCATGACACAGGCCACGACATTTCAATTCCTGAATATAAAGTAACACAGAGTATCTTCTCATCTCATTACCTCTAGAGTGATTGTGGATTAAAAGGAAAGTGAATTTGGGCATAGCCAAATTCACCAGTATTAGACCAGGCAACCCTTCAGTCCCATCAGTTTACATGGGAATTATCCGCCACTGTCAGAGAGGACAGTTTGATCTATGAGAGACCTTCAGGCTCAGTTGGTCTAAAAAGTCATCCGAGCTTTTACGACACAACGTAAAAATGTTTCTAACACTAGAACAACATGGAAGAGATGGGAAAGAGCTTTAAAGAAAACAATCTTGAAGCACACCAGCAGTTGAGAAGAGCAATAAAATAACTTCAAATTGTACTAACTCAAATTAGTCCAGCACGGCTTGGAAAATGCAAGCACAATTTTCTCTCTGCATTATGCCATTACAATGCTAATGAGTAAACACCAATTAAGAGACTTATCTGCCACTCAAAATTATTTGAGAAAGTAGCATGTACTTTCTCAGACACCACAGAATTTAACTGGAAGCATATTATAGTAAAAGGCATACTCTGTAAATACAGCACCAAATATTGTTTATCCCAATTAACATTCACTGCAACAACAGGAAAGCTTGTATGAGAAACATTAGTTAGATTGGCAAATTAGAAACCAGATTAGTGTATCTTAATAAGGAAACAGATTGCCATTTTAGAGCAACAGTTTTCACATGAGACATTCAGAAAATAATCTGTGACCACAATATCTAGTGCAGATGGAGATGTTCCCAAGGCAACATTCATTCAGGGCAGGGATAGGGAAAATTCCACATTGCCTTACTACAAGTTTTGTCAAATACTAGTTTTGTTTTACTATTTCACTGACCCAAATCTTTCTTTCCCTGCACCAGGTTGTGTAGTATGTCATGCAGAGCCCCTACAGTGGACTAAAGCAATCACAGGTCAAACATCCAACATCTGGAAAAGCTACATCACAGAAAGAGAAGTCGCCCAACTAACCTACAGTCAGAGTACGCAAAGAAAAGAGAAACAAGGAAAAATACCTGTGGCGTGAGAGGCTCCAATCATCCTTCCTCGAATCAAGCCTTCACGCTTCTCATTTCTTACCAATTTCGTGGTTTTTGGAAGCTGAGTTTTAACATATTCACCCAAGTCTTTCTTCAAGTCAGCTGAGAAAAAGAAAACAGAAGTTCAACAACAGGATGGAAATTGTGAAAGCTTCTGTTTAAAGTCCTAAGGTGTTCCACCCAAAAGGCCAAAAACTTCATCAGAAAGCTACCACAATACAGCACAGCTTCAAACCAAGAGTACCAAAAGGACAGTCATGCCACATCTTGCCCTCCAATTCCTGTGGCCTTTTTTTTGTCTGTGTGTGTTTTTATTCACACATTTTCCTATTAAGTGCTTCACTTTTTCCTGCTGTATTGTGGAAACATGGACAGAGCAGGTACATATGCTGCACTGAAGAGGGTGACAGACCATAGGACTGGGCCTTCTATGGGGTACATTCCTG